TGTAATAGGGCGGAGAGTAATACAGTTTTATAATAGCAACACAATATAAAATATTAACACTTCCCAGGAGACAAAGTGAGTAAGGCCAAGGAAGCCGTCCTATTAAGAGTGGCATTGCCACTACTTACTGGTAATGATCTTTCTTATTTGAAACAAACAAGCAAAAAGTACAGTCCACTCATTATGAATTATGTACTTTCTCCAAGATGCTACTAAAAGCCAGGAATTTTCTTTCATGACTTTGAACCACAAAGTCAGCAACTCAGGTTCACCAGTAGCTCTTCAGAAACCCTACACAAGGTTACCATGAGTAGGAATCCACTTGACGGCACTTAACCACACACGGCACTTATTTACACACCAGAGTGTGGCTTGCATTCAGATCTCATATGGCAGGATGGGGACACAGTTTTGAAACATTTCTCTGATATTTTCAGAAATAAAGAAAATATGGTGCTCAGAATAAACTTTATAGAGAAATCTGGTAATATTTTCAGTAAAGGAACTAAAAAAAAATCCTCCTTGAAAAAACAAACATACCAACAAAAACACATTGTTGTTAGGTACCTTCAAGTTGGTTTTGACTGATAGCAACTGTATGCAAAACAGAACAAAACACTGCCAATTCCTCTGCCATACTCACTATTCTTGCTGTGTTTAAACCCATTGTTATAGCCACTGTGTCATTCCATCTCATTGAGGGTCTTCCTTTTTTTTGCTGACCCTTTGCTTTACCAAGCATGATGTCCTCCTGATAGCATGTCCAAAGTACATGAGATGCAAACTTGCCATCCTTGCTTCTAAGGAATATTCTGGAAAATTCATGAAGTGTTCATATTTTTTCTGGACCACAAAAGTTGGTTTGAATCACAAGGTTAGCAGTTCAAACTCACCAGCCATTCCTCGGAAACCCTATTCAGGGTTGCTGTGATTTGTAACCAACTGTACGGCACTTAGCAACAACATCATACCATAACACACACACAAAGAGCTTCTAAATAACTTTTATTACTATATAAAAACAAGTCAAGAAAAAATAGATGCATATTTTTCCTATAAAATTGTAAAATATTCAGATTAGTTAATATTTTTTTCATAAGTGTGTTGAGATAAAAAAGACAAATTTAAAGACAGATCTCTTAATGAAGAATCTGAAAAGAAAATTAAGAAATAATTTCATTTTGCAATAGCATCCAAAGAATAAAATATAAGGATGAAAGGCTTATATGCTGAAAATGGTACAATATTGCTGAAAGATATTAAGGAAGAACTAAATAAAAGACAGCTCATGTTCTTGGATTTCAATACAATCTTATTAATATGACAATACTCCCCAAAGCAATTACTACCAAAATTCCAACTTTCTTTTTTGCAGAAAGGGAAAAGCCGATGCTCAAATTCATAGGGAATTGTACAGGGCTCAGAATAACTAGAGAAAAATCTTTTCTTTTACACTTAAGGTTTTCAAGAACCTGGTTTGAAATAATGAATAATAGTCCTCTCATCTTTACTTCCCTATGTGTAACTATAAGACAGAGCAGTTATGGTTTTCCATCGGAGTTATCTAAAAAAAATTCTCTGTAAAAATCCTATTATACTGCAATAAAACTAGCATCAAGATTTACTTCTTTCGTTGTGCTTCTAGATTTGGCTGTTGATGTGGCCCATCAGTCCTGCACTGGAATCTCCAGCTCAGCAGAAGAGTCTAATTAACAATGAGATGTACTCTTTATTCTGTCCTTTAGAAAACGGAAACTTCTTGTCAGTACTCCTAAGAGTGCAAATTGCCTTTTTTTGTCATTTGACTGTAAAGTCTAAAATTTGGGTTCTAAACAACAGAGCTTAAATGAAGCCACACAAGTAAAGGAATGAAAGTGCTTTGGAGTGAGGATTCAATTTGATATAAGGAGCACAGGAAGCTGTACACTTTTGATGACATTAATTCAAAAAGTATATTCACTTGAGTTTCTCAATAAGCCCTTTGAGAAAAAGGTTGATTTAGATGAGTGTTAAAATAAAGCTTTCTTTTCTGAAATTAGATTATGGGGTAAGCCAAGCCAGACCATCTTCTGCAGATGATATAAGCTATAATTATCTTGGGAGGTTTCAATCACTATTTTGGAATTGATACCTAAGGCTTTCTTCTCTCCTATTCTTTTTGAGGGCTTTTTATAAGATATTTTGGAGGGAGATGCTTTAAGTAGGAAATATCAGCTTTTTAAAGATAAAGGTGCAATTATCATTAGAATAAAAAGCCCATTAAAAGAAGATTCTTAAGCAGAAAGGTTTTCTAGATATATTTTACTATGTATTGTTTTCATAGGGACTGAGAAAGAAAAGATGTTCCTATAATATCTGTAAGCTTACCCTCACATTAACCCACATGAGAGAAAATACAGGGCTGGGTGAGGGGTGCTCAAATACTTTACAATGGAGCAATTCTAGTGCCAAATCCGGAATTAACGTTTCACTGATAGCCACTTTCTTGACCTATATGAAATGGAATGGCAGCTTTGATTATCGGGGTTCACTCACTGTACCCCCCCCCCATAAGAGTGAGGAATTTTTTGTATCAGCACTGGACAGCAGTTCAAACTCACCAGCTGCTCCTTGGAAACCCTATACAGGGTTGCTATAAGTCGGAACTGACTCGACGGCACTTAACAGAAACAGCATGTAATAAAAACATCAGTGTATCAAATATATTTGTGTGTGATTATGCAATTAGCACCAAGATTTAGTTTGCTGACGAGCTGAACTGGTTTCAATTCATGATGACCCTATATGTGTCAGAGTAGAACTCTACTCTGTAGGTCTTTCAGGGGCTGAGTTTTCTGAAGTAGAATGCCAAGTGGACTCAGAGTTCTTAACCTTTAGCTTAGCAGCCAGCTTGTAGTATATACTCTACAATACTGAACTCAATTGTGCCTACTATGTGTGGTGGCACTACAGAATAAGCACTGGATTATGAATCACAAGATCGGTGGTTCAAGCCTATCAGACACTGTGCAGGAGAAAGATGAGGCTTTCTGCTCCTGCAAAGATTTACAGCCTTGGAAACCATAATGGTTTGCTATGGGCCACAACTGACTTGACTGCACTTAACAACAAAATTATGTGCCAGGCATTGGGGATCCTTCTGATATTTCTAACAATTTAGGGAATAGAATTAATTAGATAAGAAGAAAACAGTGTTATAATAAGAGAATCCTGATTGGTTATTAATGACTGGTTACTAGACGTAGTAATAGTACTTGCCTCCGAGGGTTTGTCTGGTTCTCATTACTGAGAACCGGAAGCTGAAACTGTTCCCTCAAATTCCGCCACAATCAGGAAACACCCTAGTCATTGTGGGGTAGGCAGGCCAGGAAGTAGGTCTCTCCTATCGTCACAACCAGCAGCTAAGATTCTAAAGAACAAAAAATTGCGGTTTGATTCACCCTGAAAGCTACACATGCTTGTACTTAAACATTTCTCTGCCACCAAGACACAATTTTAAGATCATAGGGGCATCCAGGCCAAGGCTAGTTGGCAGTGGCAGGGAACCGGTGCCTATTTCCAGGTATGACTGGACCTTTTCCTTTGTTATTCGGGTATATGCCTTGAGAAAGACAACCAGAAGGTAAAGAAGCACCCCTAAGGACCACTCTACTCCTGCAATTGATATTTATTCAGAGGTGGAGCTACGTAGGTGCCAATTGTATAAAACAGAAAAACAAAACTAATAAACAAAAAACACAGCATAGTGAAGTGGTTAGGATCATGGACTCAGGAGCCAGACTGCTGGGTTTGGGATGTCAGTTCCAACCCACTGCTTACAAGCTTGGCAACCGTGGGGCAAGTTACTACCTTTTCCAAATGTCAGATCCCCCAACTATTACAGGATGGGGATAAAAATAGCATTTACCTTACAGGGCTTTTCTGGGAATTTAATGAGTGAATGCTTGAAAAGTGCTTAGAATAGAATACATAAAATGCTATGGAAAGTTTTGTGTGTGTGTATTTTTGTTTTTAAATAAGAACAGAAACCTAGGGAAAAGTGCCCTTTGAAGTTTGTAACATTTATGCTGCTTAACATTCGGACTTATTCTCATTCTAGGCAGGTTTGCATTCTGGATCATAAAGTGCACCAATACCAAGGAAGTCTGGGGACTAAGTTGGGTTTCAGACAATCTTCCAAGCCTGACCCGAGTCACTCAGGACTCAGTTACTGCTCCAAACCCCCCTACTCTACAGCTTGGTCTTACATCCGAGCCCAAATCATCTAGAATGGAGTAGAGGGAGCAGATTCTTAGAGGAGGGTGCTGTATTTCCAATTGTTTTCATGGTATCTGCATAACACCATAGTCTAAACCCTGTCTAGAAGATTCATGATTTGACTCTAAAGGTTAGTATTAGTTCTACTTGGTTCTGGAATCATTAGGTCTCCATGATAGGACTAATTGTCAGAGCTCATTCTGTTGCCAGTTTACCAAGTTAACAAACTGATACACATATTGAACATCTATTCTGTGTAAGGCACTATAACAACAAGAAAAAGGCACTATAACAACCACAATTTATATGTGCTATTAGCTATGAGTTGGAACCAACTCCATGGCACATAACAACAACAATTAGTTATATAGATCATGTCCTTTCCAGTTTAGATTAAATCCAGAGATTTTAGCCATAATCTTTCAAGAAACCCTACTTTATGATGAAAATAAGTATTGACACTATGTAGCTCAGTCATGGCTAAATAGGAGAAGCAGTGGTTAAGCACTTGGTTGGTAACGTTTGGAAAGGTCGGAGGTTCGAACCTATCAACCTCTCTTTGGGAGAAAGATGTGGCAGTCAGCTTCCATAGACTCCAGCCTTGGAAACCCTATGGGGCAGTTCTAGTCTGTCCTACAGGGCGGCTGGGAGTTGGAATCCACCGGACAGCAATGAGATTGGTTTTGAGTTTTGTTTAACCTGTAAGGCTAGTTTGTAAAAGTGAAGTTACATCCTCCAACATTTCACATAGTGGATCTCTGTCCAGCATCATCAAGAGTGATATTTCTTTTCCTTGCTGCTGCATCACTGTTTAACTCTGAATCTGATTTGTCCACGTTGTTGCCAAAGTTTATTGCCGTGGAGACTTCTCCTCCCTCTGTGTTGCCTCCGTTTGGCTGAAGACGGACAGAATTTGGTTCTTTAGGACGTTTCCACTGTGGTCTGGTAACAATCCAAAAAATGAGGGCTCCGAATACCAGAATCAGAAGGCCGAGGGTATTTGTAAATATGCCTTCTGGTGGGAATGAACTGTACGCGGGATTGTTCCTGTGAAAAATGACAGTGTGTATTTAATTACAAATAGGATGATACAACAATATTTAACACAGTGTTGAATTTAACTGCTCAAATTGCATGCTGCAATGTAAATTCCCTTAAAGACTGATATTAAGGAGAAATTTAAGCAATGCTATCATCCATTCAATGGAATACTTTGAAAGTATTTTTTAAAAGCATAATCAAAATAATAATGCTCATATAACATTTAAATATAGCTTCAGGTACATCTATATCACTTAAGAATTGAAAAAAGGATGAGATAAAAACTTACGTACATTTTGACTACAATTAAATATAAATCTAACATATAATAAGCATGCACATTAAAAAGACTGAAAGGGAATGCATGATTTCAATTCTTGTTTTTGCTCCTTCCAAGCTTTAATAATAATAGTAGTAGTAATAACAATGTATTGTATGTATAACATAATAAGAAAAATCTTTATTTAAAATTTCAATAATTTAAAAAGTGCATTCATATTATGATTTCAAAAGAAAACATTATGCTTAAGTATTACAATGAGAAAAACTATGTGACTTACAAGGAAAAAATCAGTTTTTCCGTCAATCCCATAAATGTCGCTGCAATCACTGTTCCAAATATGAGGAGGCCAGAGTAAACATGTATGGGCATGAGAATTGCTCGGAGAGAAGGTGGGGCGAAAGGAAGTAAAAAAATGGAAAAACCTAGAAGAAGCTAAACACACAAAAAATGCAAATGGTTATCATTTAGTTTTAAACTGTAATTTAATTTTTAAATTATTATGAAAGCAATATGTAAAAAATGAGAAAACATTCCATAAAGAACCAAAGGCATAAAATGAAAAATAAGTTACCCTAACCCCAGTTCCACTCTCAGAAGTAATCCTTATTATTAGTTCCTCATGTAGCCTTCTAGAAAATGTTTATCCTTATGGAGCTCTGGTAGCATAGTGGTTACGAATCGGGCTGCGAATCGCAAGGTCAACAGTTCGAAACTACCAGCTGTTCCGCGGGAGAAAGATGAGGCTTTCTGCATCATTAAAGATTTACAGCCTCAGAAACCCTGTACAGGGACGCTATGAGTCGGAACCGACTCCACGGCACATAACAACAACAACAATAAAAGTATAGTCAAAACACAAAACATCAAAACACCAAAACCAAACCCACTGCCATTCAAACAATTCTGACAGATAGCAACCCTATAAGACAGAGTAGAATGGCCCCATATGGTTTCCAAGATGGTAAATCTTTATGGAAGCAAACTGCCCCACCTTTTTCTCCTACAGCTGGTGAGTTTGAACCACGGTCCTTTGGCTCATAGCCAAGCACTTTAACCATTGTGCCACCAGGATTGTTTGGTATTCAAGTACATACATATGCAGTAAAAAGGATCTCACTGCACTTAGTCTTTTGAATTTTGCTCTTTTCCCGTAACAGTGTATCTTGGAAATCTTTTCATTATCAACATGTTTATCCAGTTTGTCCTGTTGGGTTGTTGTTGTTGTTATGTGCCGTGGAGTTGGTTCCGACTCATAGCGACCCTGTATAGGGTTTCCGAGGCTGTCGATCTTTACGGGAGCAGAAAGCTTCATCTTTCTCTTGCAGAACAGCTGGTAGTTTCTAACTGTTGACCTTAACATTAGCAGCCCGATTAGTAACCACTACACCACCAGAGCTTCTGGCTGCGAACTGCAAGGTCAGCAGTTTGAAACTAAGATTTACAACCTCAGAAACCCTGTACAGGGTAACTATAGGTCGGAATCGACTCCACGGTGCATCACCACCACCACCATCAAGGTTGCTAAGGGGGTCCTGGTAATAGCGCTGTAGATAAATGTGCTGGACTGCAAAGTCAGTTTGAACTGCAGGTTGGCAGTTCAAACTCACCAGCTACTACTCAGAAACCCTATATAGGGTCACTATGGGTTGGAACTGACTTGATGGCCCTTAACAACAACAACAAGGTAGCTAAATAGGAAGAGAAATAAGAGTTTTTAATCACTAAAATAAAATATACTCTTTTCTCTTCCTACTTAGCAGCCAAAGAAAATAGATAAAAACAAGCAACTATCTGACTCTTCACTACAATGCCACACTAGGACCAAATAGGAGTCCTGATGTGGTGCTGTAGGATAAGCAGTGGACCGCAAGGTCGGTTTGAAGTTGTAAGGTTGGTAGTTTAAACATGTCAGCTGCTCCTCGGAACCAACTTGATGGCACTTAACAACAACAACAACAAAACAAATGTAAACAGACATAACATACTCAGTTCAACCTAAAAAGTTGGCAAAAAGTTGACAGTTATGTTTCATGAAGAATAAATAAACTCTCCAGAAAAGTTATATGTGTTTTCTTGATAATTAAATCCCGAGAGGGATACTTCTCTACAGTACAGACAGCAAGATTTGTATGCAGACAAGTCCTGTGTGTTACACATTCAGTTTTTGGTTGTTGCCCCACACTCCCTGCCTGTTAAGTATTCTCTTTTCTTCAAGAAAACTCAGATGATTTAGTGGCTAATGAACTATTGTTGTTGTTGTTAGGTGCCATCGAGTCGGTACCGACTCATAGCAACCCTATGCACAACAGAACGAAACACTGTCCGATCCTGGGCCAACCTCACAATCTAAAAGAATATTTTACCCTCACGTTTATATTTGGTCCCTCTGTGTTGCAAACAGTTTGCACTTGACTAAAGGTTGTTGATTTGAATCCACGTGCAGCACTACATAAGAAAGACCTGATGATCTACTTCTGTAAAGATTTTAAAAAAAACAAAAACCAAAAAACCCTTTGCTGTGAAGTTAATTCTGACTCAAGGCAACCCCATGTGTTACAGAGTAGAATGGTGCCATAGGGGTTCTTGGCCACAATCTTTTTTTTTTTTTT